TCTTTTTGCCTTCAAAGATTTCCAGTCCGTACTCAAGTTTGTGCAGGTTGTTGTCCAAGGGGTTGGAGAACATGGCGATAAATGAGAACCTGTCTGACTCATAGGTGAAGACTCCTGCAATCCCCCAAGTGCTGAAGTTCCTTTTCACAAACACACAGGTCTCCCTGCTCTGGGGGCCGATGGATGGTGGGACAGGACTGAAGGTGTGACCGCTGTAACAGAAAACACTGTGGGGAGATAGGAAACGTACTTGTTATGTTGCATACTCAGCAGTGGGATTACTATAATCACTAGCTCTTAGCAAAGCAGACAGAGAATATTAGGGTTGGAAGGGACCTCAGGAGGTCATCTAGTCCAATCCCCTGCTCAAAGGGGGAACCAATCCCCAGACAGATTTTTTATCCCAGTGCCCTAAATGGCCCCCTCAAGGATTGAACTCACAACCCTGGGTTTAGCAGGCCAATGCTCAAGCCACTGAGCTATCCCACCCCCATTTGAGTCCCCAGAATTAACATGGAGCAGGAAGTTCCATCCCCTTGGGTTAACCCACCTTGGGGCTGCAGCTGTGCATTTCCCCAGCTATCTTTCCCTGAACAACAAGTCATCTTCTAGTGTCTGTGTTTAGCCAGGAATGTCTCACCGGGTCTGGCTGATATTTGTAGATTCAAAGATCTTTTCCCTTAAACAGCCATTCCCTGTGGACTTTCACTTGAAGATCTTTGCCCTGACACTATCTGGCATTTGCTATGGTAGCACCTGCCCAATATCTTTATTTACGCATACAAAAATTGTAAGTAGAAAATGTCAAAGTGGCACAATGCACCCTTAACTCTGCCCCTGGTGGATATGCACAATGCCCTTGCCTCGTCTTTACCCTTCCTTTTTTATTCAATCATCTGTTTTGAGGCCCCTGCTGGACAAAGGACTTCCCTATTTAAGCACCACTTTCTTCAGTCTTGCGCCCTTCCTATCCAAGCAGCTCCCAGTCCCACCTACTTTAGAGAGACAAGGTGGGTAAGGTGATAGAGACAAGCTTTTGAGATACACAAAATAAAGAGGCTTTGTAAAAAGAAACTAAATGGGAGCTGACGTTTGGGGAAGCTACCGAGAGAAATATACCCTGCTCTAGATGTATAGAGAGAGCATCTGGAAATAAGCATTCTGGATAAAACAATCCCACGTACCCTGGGGATGCGAGGGTCACGGTCGTTTTGTTGGTTATCTCGACTCCCACACATCTTGAATGGTCCACACCTTTAAGAATCTCTTCGATGGCTTCACTCTTGTCCATCAATGTGGCTCACTGGTGCGCACAAGGATTTTCAGCAAGTCTCAGCTGAGCTCCTCCTCACACAGGGTTCTCGCTGCTTCTGCTGAGCACGCAGCCCATATGAGGAAGCTGGGCTTCGGCAATGAGCAATAAATGTTCCCACGCACTGTCAGTAAGTAAGCCGGGAGGCCAGGGGTGTCTCCAGGGGAGATCTGGCTGCTGCCTGGAGGACTCCACCTCCCAGCCTCCAGAACCCTGTGGTGTTTGTCTGGAACATTAAGGCAAAACTTATGCAAAAGCTCTTCCTTTCTAAAAGGGCAAGGAAACGGGTGTTATCTAGAGCTAGCCAAAGAGGGAAACCAGCTGCAACTCCAAAACTGAAGGACATTTGGAATATTTGATTACATGTCTTTTGGAAACATTTTGAAATGTCCTTGTTGTGTTCCCTGCCTGCCCCGGGATGCAGGACAATGAAGGATGCCCTGGTTTGGTGTTTTTTTCATTTTTTTCATTTTTCTGTCTTTTCAGTTTTCCTCTGCTGATCAAAGCTGGAATTTTGGTGTAAAAACTCCAGTGCTGGAGAACCCCCCATGTCCCTTGGGCCTGTGACCCAATGCTTAACCGCCCTCCCTGTTGTGCATTTGTGCCTGTTTCCAGTCGGAATTTGTCTCGGTGCAACATCCGTGTGGAAATGGTGGGAGCTGAGGTCTGGGGCATGATGGGAGGGGTGACAGGTCTGACCCCTGCCTCACAGCTCCTCTGGGCTGCAGGTGAGATCTCACCACAATTACCCAGAATGCTCTGTGGCTGGAAGTAATGCACGGGGTTCTGGGATAAGTACCACTCTGCACCACACCTGGACACACAACTTACACTCCTGTGTCTTGCACTGCTGAATTGGCCTCAAGGGTTCCCCTATGCAGCTCCACATGCAACGTGGACACACAGAATTTGCTTGGGGGTACTAGGGCCTGCCTGGAGCCATGGAAACCTTGTGGATACATTTCCCATCTTGTCCCCATTCTCCTCCCCGTGCTCTATCCTGTCACTACAAGGTACACCTCTATCCCAATATAACGCAACCCGATATAACACGAATTCGGATATAACGTGGTAAAGCAGTGCTCCGGGGGGGGGGCTGCGCACTCTGGCGGATCAAAGCACGTTCGATATAACATGGTTTCACCTGTAACGCAGTAAGATTTTTTGGCTCCCGAGGACAGCACCCCAGGACCGCATGATGGCAGGCACTGTGATGGAAACCTACAGACCAGGTGTGCCCCTCCTCTGCTCCTGAGCTTTGGGCATCACATGGTCAGACAGACATGTAAGAACTGGAGTGAGTCCGGAGGAAAGCAACACAACTCATCCGAGATTTAGCAAACCTGACCTGTGAGGAAAGGTTGAAATGATAGGGCTTGTTTTGTCTAGTGAAGAGAAGGCTGAGTGGGACCTGATAGCAGTTTGCCAATATGTTAAGGTCTGTTATAAAGGAGACACTGAGCAATTGCTCTCCAGTTCCACAGGAAATAGATCAAGAAAGAATGGGCTTAATCTGCAGCCAGGGAGTTTCAGGTTAGGTATGAGGAAAAACTCTAACTCTAAGGGTAGCTAATCTCTGGAACAGGTGACCTAGGGAGGCTGTGGGATCCCCATCACTGGAAGTTTTTAAGGACAGGTTGGACAAACCCCTGCCAGGGATGGTCTAGGTTTATAGAGTCCTGCCTCAGTGTGGAGGATGGGCTAGATGACCTCGTGAGATCCCTTCCAACCCTACATTTCTCTGATGTCTGTGACTTGTCTTCTTTGGAATAGTAGTAAGCAGCATCAGCATTTAGAAGTGAGAAGCTGGGTTGAATGCCTGGGGGCGGGGGAGAGAGGAAAGAAGGGGAATAATAAAGTGGAAAAGTCTGAGGAGGACTGAGCAAGAATTGATTCAGTCCCTGAGGTGACATGAGGACAAGGGAAAAATGCTCTCTTGCTGAGGCACCAATGTGGGTGATGGGACACAGATGCCCTAACGCAGGGGTGGGCAAACTTTTTGGCCTGAGGGCCACATCGGGGTGCGAAACGGTATGGAGGGCTGGGTAGGGAAGGCTGTGCCCCCAAACAGCCTGGCCCCTGCCCCCCCACCACCCCCCCCCCCCCCCCCCCCCCCGCTGCTCCTTGTCCCCTGACCGCCCCCCCGGGACCCCACCTCCTATCCAACCCCCCTGCTCCCTGTCCCCTGACTGACCCCCGGCCCCTATCTTCCCATGCCCTATCCACCCCCCTTGTTCCCCGACCCCAGACCACCCCAGAACCTCCACCCCATCCAACTGCTCCCTGTCCCCTGACTGCCTGCTGGGCCCCTTACCAAACCCCTTCACCGCCTCATGCGCGCACCGCCGCCGCCCCCTTACCATGCCGCTCAAAGCTGCTGCTGGGAATATTTATCTTTATTGCAAACCCTGACAAACCTGGGCAGGAAATGGCCAGGATGTTTGCATGTTGGCTGTGGATACTAATTGAAGTGACTTGAGCAAAGGGCAGTTCAGGCAGGGAGCTCTGTCAGGCATTACGATTTAGGTCTGTTTGCTTCCTCATCAAGCCGTTTGCACCCCAAATGCAGACAGGTAACCTAGTGTCAGTGAAAAAATTTTGGAGGAGATTTCACAGGTTCTGTCTTCACTGCACAGTTACTCCTGGCTCTTACCCAGGTTTTAGCCCAAACCCTCACCATCTACACAGAGACCCTCTGACGGGTGCTGGAACTAGGGGTGCCGGGGCTGTGGCAGCACCCCTTGGCATCATATACAGGGTTTACAGTTTGGTTCAATGGCTCACAGCACCCGCACTACACAACTAGGAGGAGAACAGAGAGACCAAGTGACCAGGACATGGGTGGTTGTACCTACTGGTTAGAGCAGGAGTCAGTAGCCAGTGTAAGCAGGGGAATGGTCCTGTTATTGTGGGGCAGTTTCCTGGCTTCTGCAATACCCCAGTGGAATTGGATAGTGAAAGGATCTGAGTCCTTGCTCCCACTCTCTTCCCCCAGAGGCCTGCCTGACTCTTCCAATCAGTCAGGCGGCGCAGCCAGACAGGCAACCTGCTACAGGCCAGTTGCGCTCATTACATTGCCCAGAGACTGGCTTTGATGCAGGCTCAGCTTCATGACACAGAGCTTCTTGGGCACAGAGCTCGCTGGAGGGGTAGACATGGGGATTGCAAAGAGAAGAAGCTGCCTGCTGCTGTTAGACTCTGAGGTGCTCAGGGAACACGCCTGTGTGTGAATGACCAAGATGACACTGAGAATCTCCCTGACTCATCTTACAGATTTTCATCCTAACAGAAATGCCCTGCAAAGCCCTGAATATCAGCAAACAGGAACACATCCTGCAATGCCATCCAACTCGCTGTCTGGTGCAAACCTGTCACGGGGCCCCTGAGCAGTGTTAAGGCAGAGTAGCTTCCCCACTGCCCGGAGTGGCTGACAGCCAGGTGGGCAGATCTGTGTGTCCGACCTTCTGTGGGCCCCATTAAGGGGTTTTGCCAGCGAGCGAGTGGGATAGAACTGGGGGATGTGTGTTTTTTTTTTGCAGGGTAGAGGCCATGACCCACAACATTGTGGGTAATGTGCAAATATACAAGTCTGTCCTTTTAACTCATCTCCCTCCTTTTAAGTCTTGGGTGGGTGGGTACATCCCGATGCCATCACTAAACTAAGTAGTCGTCTGTGTTAACGAACTTCGCCTTTCCTGACTTTGTCCTGAAGCCGCATTCCAAAGGGGCTCCTCTCAGCCACTCAGTCCTTGTTCCCTTTCAGTCCTCCTGTT